TATGGTTCAAGTAATTTCAAGAAATTGTGTTGCAATTATTGCTGCAAAAATAATATAATTTACAATTTCTAATAGCAATTATAATGGGTACTTGATAGCATACTAGTTTACAAAAAACTGCAAACACTTATTATTCCTTTGTAGAACACCTTGTTCTAAAATTCTGTGCACTACAAATACACAGGTCTTACTGCAATTTATTAGAAAACAGCACTATAATGCATAGCTAGTCGTATTTTCACTATAAATTGTAGGATGATAGCATACAATTATAGATTATTTTACCATATTTTTTTTTCAGTGTAAGTCTGCAAAATATGTAAATTATAGTAAACTCATAAACTGATGGGCGATGGCGCCAAGGCCGTCAAGCCATTCTTTTAGTAGGCAGTGAGGCAGTGCATTGCATGTTGTTTGACTCATGAAATTATTTGTTGTAGACAACCGAGCCGAACGAAGGTGTAAGCTCAGCAGTTCCATCTACCTCTACTTCTACTTTCGCAGATTTTGTAGAGATTACAGAATTTGGGGACTGTGACTGTGAAGTTTAGTTGATGAGATAAATCAGGTAACGGTAACATTCTTTTTTTACTCTGTGTTTAGGTACCTTCTGTTATTTTGATTGATATCAAACATTCAAACAACAAATTGCTTTGCTTCTAGACTGATGATATGCTTGAGTCACATCGAAGTAGAGACGAACAATCGCTGCCATTGATCGACAAAGTAAATGCTTTTGAAAAGAACGAACACGAAAATCGAGAACCTGGGACCGTTGACAAATTTAAAAGACCATCTAACAACGACTATTATACTTTTTTTAAAATTCATCCGATACAACCCTCTGAAAATGACAAAATGAAATTCAACCCAAGTTTAGCTTATTATCGAGAAGATTTTAATGGCAGCAAAATCAGAAGACAATGGATTTCGTGTTGCGAAGAGAATAATACATTTTTCTGCTCATTCTGTTTAGCATTCAGCAAAGAAGACAATTCATTCACGCAAGGTTGCAAAATCGATCCTCGCAGAATATACGATCGGATAAGAGAACACGAAAAATCGATGGCCCATCAAGCATCTGCAGAATCGTTTTTATTAAAAAGTCAATTGAAAGATATACGCAGCATATTTACAGACACCTCCAAAAAAAGGCAAGTAATTAATGAACGTAGAGAAGTCTTGAAACGAGTTGTCGAAACAGTTAAAACTTTAGGAAAACGAGGCCAAAGTTTCAGAGGGGCCAAAGATGCTGAAGCTGCCTACACTCTGAATGATACCAGTGCCGACCATGGCAATTTTTTGGAAATTCTTTTGTTACTTTCCACATTCGACCCAATTCTCAAAGTTCACATAGATAAATCTATAGAATTAAGCCGTAAAGCTCACCTTAAGAAAACCGATCAAAATAGAGCCGGTCGTTCTGGATCAATCAATACCTTCTTATCAAAAACTACTGTGAATTATATTATAGAGTCAATATCTTCGTTGATGAAAAGTTTTATAAAAATGTTTGGACATTACAATAATCCAACAAATGCAGGTTTTATAGAAAACGCTAGAAGAACTTGCTAGTTCACACAATTTCACAAACGATGTGCGTTTCAAAGCAAAGTCGATAGCTGACTCGTTGAAAAAGTTTGAAATGATACTAACTGCTCACATTTTTTTGAAGATATTTGAATCTACAACTCCATTATCGAAATACCTTCAAACAAATGGAATGAATTTTATCATGGCATTTAAAATGGTTGAACATACCATGAATATTCTTAAAACGGACTCACGAAGATTTGAAGAAGTATTGGCAGCTGCCAAAAAAATTCTCGTTTGGGCTAATCGTAGAATGGATGCTGAATCAGAACAAACAACGCCAGATACTGATAATGATGGCGTTGAAGTAGTACGGGAACCATATTTTACATCTAGTTTTGCTACAAGACGAATCATAAAAAGAACAAAAATCCCTGGAGAAAGAAGTAATGACGAGTGTATCACCGACCCAAAGAAAAGATTTGAAACACAGGTTTACAACGTTATTTATGACAATGCTTTGCTAAGTTTGGAAAACAGATTCACAGGTCATCAAAAATTATTTTTGGACATTGCTTGGTTAGATCCATCCTACTTTGGAGAAATTGATCGTTTGCCAGATGATTCATTTCAAGATATTGCGGATCAGATAACAAAACATAGCAATCTCATTGTGACCTCGGCAGACATTCGGACTGAGCTAAAAGATTTTGCGAAGAAATGGAACGAAATGAAAGCGGTCTTGGTAAATGTAGGACGCAAATCGATATCCAACGAAGATGATCACAAACCCCTACATATGACTACATGTCGTCAAACATGCAAAAATTGCGTTGTATGTTGTTTTACAGTTTTGCTCCAGTATAAATTACATACTGTGTCATACAATAATCTATACAATGCTTATAAATATGTCTTAACATTGTCATGCGCCCAGGTTTCCTGTGAAAGGACATTCTCAAAGTTGAAATTTGTTCTAAACAGGCTAAGAAGTTGTCTCACACAGGAACACTTGGATGCCTTACTTTTGATGTCTGTTGAAAAAGATATTTTCGTAGATATAGACACCGACGATATTATAAATGATTTAGCAACAAAAAGCGAATCTTTGAAAAAGTTGTTAATTGTTTAAAATATTAAATATTATACTTACATTTTGGATGCGTTTCATGCAAACATTTTTATTGCAGTAGTTGTAGTAAATATAAAGATCTTGTGTTCAGTTATTAAACTAATGATTACCCTGACCTTTGGGCTGACCGTTGTCACTCAAAAGTGAATCAATGTCTAGTGTACCTCCTATTTTAATCGATGTATGTACATGTAGCAAAAATTGTTGTAGGTTAATCTAAAAGGGGCCGGTTTATAGTGACAACCCGGGCCGAAAAATGCTCCCAATCCGGGCCTGTCGCTGCCTCCTGGACTATTTGGAGCGCTAACACATCGTTGATTTACTCCTTGGTAAGCATTTTTGTTTTGGTGTATACAATGCTGTCTTTTAAGTTAGGATTTGTTACACACAGTCTCACATATGATTTGACCCAGCAGCCTTGTTGTGATAAAAACTATAATTTTAAAAATTTTAATTGTAATAATCATTTACGTAAACTTGCAAAAATTTTTCTTTCATGTATAAATTATGGTACTTTTTTGTTGTAGTGGCGGTTAGAAAAAATCCCCTATGCTACAATGCCACAAAAAAAGATGTGGAGATGGCTCAGAAACGCGGGCGATAGAGATGGTGGGCGAAGCAGGCGCAGGAACAAAAATACCAGTAGTAATAATACTTAATTAATCAAAAAATTTCATTGCAAAATGTCAATATGTAGTATTAATAAAATTTACATTTTTCATACGCTCTCAAACTGAAGGTTGGGTAGTTTCTGGGCTTGTACTAGAATCATCATTGTTAGTTTAAGACTGATTTGAACTAACATGGGGTTGGTTCGACCTAACCAAAATAGAATATCGTTAGGTTAAGCTGGATTTGAACTGAAAAATGTGGCATGCTTAACTATTACTTTGATGTACATTTTCTGTTAATAGGGAAAGGTCGGCGGTCGGCCCATTGTTCAAATAGATCGTGGCCAGTTGGAAATATTATATAATGAAGGATGTACTGCGACCAACATCGCAAAGTATCTGGGGTGTTCCAGGCAAACGATTTATAAAAAATTATATGAATTTAATATGCCTCTGCGAGCCCGATACTGCCAAATTACAGATGATGAATTACAATCAAAAATCACTGATATTCATCATGAACATCCAAATGCTGGGCAAACGGTAGTTTGTCAAATGACTCGATTTTAATTATTCTCAACATAATTATAGATGACGCAAGCATATTTAAAGGCAGCTGGAATTTATGTACAGAGGTGTAGGATAAGATCAACTTTAAAGTCAATAGATCCTGTGGGAGCTGCTGGTAGGTGGAGTCGTTCCCTCAAAAGAAGACGTTATTAGGTTGCACTCTTTGTGGCACATGGATGCACATGTAAAAGTTTCAAGGTAAAATGTTTAAATAGACGCACTGTCTGCTAATTTTCATTAACAATATGATTGCAATTTGTTTCACTTATTAACAGCAATTAATACAATTGCATGGTTTGTAGTACTAATAAAGTCCTATTTATAGATGGGGTTTTGTAATTCATGGTTGTGTTGATGGCTAGTCCAGGTTAATTATATACTTACAATGTGAGATGTCCATCCAAGCAGAACCTGTTGTTTCTCTGTTTGCAAATGCTGTCAATAACTATGGGCTACCGTCACGGGTCCGCTCAGACCATGGCTATAAGAACATTCTTGTAGCTTTCTTGATGAATGTTATTCGCGGGGTAAATAGAGGAAGCCATATAACAGGAAAGTCTGTCCACAATCAGAGGATAGAACGGTTGTGGGTAGATGTTTATAAGGAAGTATGTGAAGTCGTTTATATGGAGTTATACGCCTTAGAAGATGAACATTTATTGGATATTAATAATCACATTCATACATTTTGCATACAATACATATATAAACCTTTCATTAATAAACAGTTGGCATCATTTCAATCTGCATGGAACGTTCATAATATGAGAACTGAAAACAACCGTTCACCACGTCAAATATGGCTAGAAAGTATATTGCAAAACCGCAACACAAATCACACCGCTGTGCATGACATTTTTAACAACAACATACAACTACACACTGTTGTGTCATATACGGGATCGATCGGTTACATTAACAACTGCAGGAATTTATTAAAATGGACTTTAATAATAAATGCATACAGCAATTATATATTATATTGTCATTTCCTACATATTGACAATAGACAACGACATTACACTTAAGACTAGCACGAAGTTATCCACTGTTCTCGTTGACAGTCACCAGTACCAACCCCATATTTAACTAACACTACATTTCTCCCCTCTTATTTTAAGGTCGTCACTTACAAAAAAAACATATTAAAATACTTACAAATTTAAGCGGTTAGGTGGTATAACCGTTCGTTTGGATCTACGGAGGGAAGGGGATGGAATATCTTTTATAACAGGATGACTAGGGCCAGGCTGGGCTTCCGTGCTTCCCTCTGGTGGTGGACCCGTTGAAGGGCCATCACGAAGCCGTACTTCATCCTCAACCCGCGGTCCCACCATTTCTGGCATGTGGACCTGATCTCTGACTTCGGGTAGTGGAAGAGCAGGTGGAAGATAACTCGTAGATTCTGGTGTCTTGCTTTCTTGAACGATTTCATTTTCCATTCCTGCTCTGCTGCGCTTTTTCAAATGATCGCCATGCATGTACCTTACTCGTCCTGACGCCAACACCAAGTAGGTGTATTCTCCCACGGCTTTCATAATTTTCCCAGGGATCCATTTTTTTTCTTTGACCTCGTATGCCCATATGTACTCTCCTTCCAGAAATAAATTTCGATTTATCCGCCGATTATTTTCATATTCTACTGTCCTTTCTCTGTAGTCCTCTTCAGATTTATTTTCCAGATTACTGGGTTTTAGCAGAGTAATTTTGGTTCTTGGTTTCTTTGCCATCATCATTTCAGCTGGTGTTCTCTTCGTTACAGAATTTGGAGTATTCCGATGATTAAATAAAAAATTATCCAATTTATGTTGGAGCGTTATGGTTTCTGTGCATTTTGAACTTTGGAATAATTGCTTTTGGAGGTTCCTTTTAGTGGTATGGACTTGTTTCTCAACCGCCCCATTGCTTGGTGGATGATATGGCGGCTGTGTTTTAGTTGGATCCCATTTGATCTACAAAAAAATTCAAATTCCTTGCTATTAAATGGGGGACCATTATCGGTTATCAGAATTTGTGGTAATCCAAAACAAGAGAAAACAGTTCTAAATTTAGAAATTGTTTTCGCTGCATTAGTTCCCTGTGGCATCATAAATACCTCTAACCATCTTGTTTTGCTGTCGATAATTATCAGGAATTCGATGCCTTCAAATTTGAAAAAATCTGCATGAACTCTCTGCCAGTTGTTCGTCGCTAACGGCCACTGCAACATTTTTCCTTCTTGTCGATTATTGGCATATATTTGACATTCTTCGCAGTTTCTGATTTTCTCTTCAATATCCTGTGTTATTCCAGGCCACCAGATATCGCTTCTTGCTCGTAGCTTCATTCGCACGATTCCTGGATGTTGATCGTGTAATAACTCCAACACATGTTCACGTAAGGTTTTTGGAATAATCACCCTACATCCCCAACTGAGACAATCGTTGTCAATGGTGATTTCCATTCTTCTACTAAAATATGGTTTTAATGTTTCATTTGGACATTGTTGTGGCCATCCTTCCTTGACGTACTGCCGAACTTTTATCAGGTTTAAGTCTTTTCCAGTTTCGGACCTTACTACTTCAGCTGTAACGGGTAGCTCCTCCATGTTTGTGAATGATAAAACTTCTTGGACTCCCGAATTTAGTTTTAATGGTAGTCTACTAAATCCATCTGCATTTGCCACTTCTGATCCCTTTTTATAAATGATGTTGTATTCATATCCCGACAATATGATAGCCCATCTTTGTAATCGTGAATGTGACAGAGTTGGTATACTTTTCTTGCTGCCAAAAATTGTTTTTAGAGGTTCATGATCTGTGATCAATGTAAATTTGTGTCCAAATATAAATTTATGAAATTTTTTGATAGCGAATACTATACCCAGTGCCTCCTTCTCCACTTGAGAATAATTCTTCTCTGCTGCGCTTAATGTACAGGATGCGTACATAACAGGTTTTACTTCATTATTTACCTTTTGACTTAGAACGGCACCTAATCCATATGCGGATGCATCTGTGGTAATGATGATTTCGTTATCCGGGTTGTAATGAGTTAAGGTAAAACAATGCCCCAACAATTCTTTTGATTTATCAAAAGCTGTTTGACATTCATCATTCCAACAGAACACCACGTCTTTTCTTAACAATCCATAAAGTGGATGTAGAATAGTTGAAAGCATTGGGATAAATTTACTATAAAAATTTAATAATCCCACATATGACCTTAATTGCGTAACATCTCTTGGAACAGGTGCGTTTTTAATTTCTGTCACTTTAGATTGTAGTGGCTGAAGGCCTCCTTCAACTAATTTATATCCCAAGAATTCCACTTCTGGTTTAAAAAATATACTTTTGTCCTTATTTATTCTAATATTATGCTTTTCGAAACGAGATAATACTTCTTTGACTTTTGTGTAACACTCGGTAAAGTTACGTCCACTTATAATTACATCATCAATATAAATTCCTACCTTAAGACCTTCTAGGACCCTTTCCATGGTAGACTGAAAAATTGCAGGAGCACTTGAGACGCCATATGGAAGTCTAGTGAATCTCATTAAGCCCATATGGGTGTTGATAGTTAAGAGCTCTTGACTTTGCTCTTCGACAGGTAATTGCAAATACGCCTCCGACAGATCTAGAATTGTGAAAACTTTACCATTCTTGATATTATGACAGATTTCATCCAAGGTAGGGAGAGGGTAGTAATCGGTTCTCAGGACAGGGTTAAGGGTTTTCTTAAAATCTACACATATTCGAATACCACCATTTTGTTTTGGAACACACACTATGGGACTAGCAATATCTGCGTGTGTTACCGGAATTAGAATACCATCTTTAATCATGGTCTTTAACTTACTTTCTATCAACTCTTTCATTTTGTATGGCACTGTATATGCTTTGTGATAAACCATACTCGCATCATCTTTTAGAACTAAACGAGCCTTGATACCAGTTATGCCATTGACTTTGTTTTCGGAAAAGACTTTGGGAAATTGCTTTTTTAAATCTGAGACAATATCGTTCCCCGTAATAGAACATATACTGGTGTCAAAGTTCCTTGAATAAGGACTAAAGGCACTTCGCCATGACGGTAATATTACATCAAGCCAATTCCGACCCATGAGCGGGAAGGAACTATTTTTCGTTCTAGATACAATCAACGACAACATATGACTTGGACCAGTAGCACTCAACGACACTCTTACATTCATTTGTCCTACACTCTTGATCTCGTTTCCCGACATCTTGCATTTTAATGTCTGTACCTCTTATTCGCTCCGAGCTAAAATTACAACTAAAGTATTGTTGACAACAAATACTTACAGCTGCCCCTGTGTCTATTTCCATAACTATTGGATTATTATTTACAGACTTTACATAGGACAGGTACCGACTTTTTGTTTGATACGTGACTGATTGCGAGACTGCGAACTGTATTCATTTCCGCCGTTAAGGAATGAACCCCTTGCAGGTCGCCGTTTTCTTCTCCTACAGCTGTAACTTGGTTTAATTCTAGCACGTCCACGCCCCCTTGATGTTCGGACTCCATCTCTTCGACTTGACTGACCCACCTGCTCTTCTTTGCACGGCATACTGTTGAGGTGTGCCCCTTCCTATGACATAGGAAGCAATCCCAATTAGCTGCCGGACACGTACTTGGGTTATGTTTTCGATTACAACGAAAGCATGGCTTGTAGTTTTCCTTTTTGCTGAACTTGAAGTTCTCACGATCACCTTGACTTTCGTGAGTTGGATAAACTTTTGACGTTTTGAACTGCTGTTTTTTCATAATTTTGTTGACATCAGCTGGTTGTAGACTTTTTGTTTGCTCAGATGCAGTTTCCATGGAGAGTGCTGTACTGCATGCTTTCTCGAACGTAAGGTCACTCTCCGACAACAATTTCGTTTGAATGTTCTCCTTTAATAACCCGCATACAAATCGGTCACGCAAAGCTTCACTTAAAAATGTTCCAAATTGTCAATCCCGTGCAAGTTTCTTCAACTTTCGGACCAATTCCCCCACAGACTCATTCACCCCCTGACTACACCGATAGAAACGAAACCTCTCTGCTATGACAATCTTTTTTGCACTAAAATGTGTAGTTAGCGCTTCCTTTAACTGACTGTAGCTTTTACTCTTGGGGTTATCTGGTGATACCAGGTCTTTTAAAATCGAGTATGTTTCCGTTCCTATTAAAGTTAGAAACAACGGAACCTTTTTATCTTCTTCGACTATATTACAGATAAATAGCAGATCCATTCTTTCTATGTATGCTTCGATATCCGAAGTTCCAGGTGCAAACGGTTCGATTGTACCATATATATAAGAGAAGGATTGTACCAATAAGAGCCATTTTGTTTTAGGTTTCACGGTCACAAACGACGCTTTATGTTCACGCTTCAGGTTCAAAGCCTCGTCGCCAGATATGTTGTGTCATATAAGGGATCGATCGGTTACATTAACAACTGCAGGAATTTATTAAAATGGACTTTAATAATAAATGCATACAGCAATTATGATTATTATTATAAGAGTCATTTCCTACACATGACAGACAACGACATTACACTTAAGACTCGCACGAAGTTATCAACTGTTCTCGTTGACAGTCACCAGTACCAACCCCATATTTAACTAACACTACAATGTGTAGCAGACCCAATTTCATGTTATGATTAAATACCACTCACAGTTGTATAAAGACCCATTGTTTCTTGTATGGATCAAATATCATAGTTTCATTTTAAATTTTTTTAATTTTTGTTTACGTGCGTATCCCATCTTACAAATTTATCTTACTTCGAGCTTGTTGTGGTAGATCGGTGGAAATTGTAATGGAAAGTGAACTCAGGGAGCCGTCCTTAAGGGCAAGGTCGTGTTCATGGTGCAACGGATATATCAGGCGCCGCGCCGCCGGTTTTAAATATTTTTTGCTTTAACAATGGTTAAAATTCGAATTGTATTGCATTTGATTTGCTAATCGTAATGACATGGCGCTTAAATTGCCAAATGTTCGTATTGATATTTCTGACACTATACGATGTTTAGAGATACCAGATTCATAATTCCATAAACATCTCATATTACGCTAACATTAAATTTCGTGTAAAATTACACAGAAGTCAGGTCTCTGTTCTGTGCTTCAGAATTAATGTAACAATTGGACATTGACACTCTAATGAACGATTTTGCGAAACTTGCTATATATGTTTGTGTGGCTGTGCATATGCACGTGTGCACAATTTTTTGCTTTGGTAGTATTTTATGCTTACGAAGAATATTGTTGACGAGGTTAAGAAGAGAACTCTTTGGGAAAGTCAGTGATGCATTTTAAATATTTCCATTCGCAAATATTAGTTTTGCCTAAAAGTAACATTTGCGAATTTTGTAACTAGTGTGCTAAATCGAGGTCCGTGAAGTTAGCACGGTCATTGAAAGCACTAACGACGGTACATGATCACATTGTTAGTGCTTCGTTAGTGCCTCTTAGTGCTTCATAACTTGCATCAGCACGACCGGCCGTTTCCGAGAAAACGACCCCCCCTTATGTAGTGCTGACTTCCTACCCTCGTTAAAAGCACTAACGACCGGACAAGTACTGATCGTTAGTGCTTCGTTAGTGCCTCTTAGTGCTTCATAACTTGCATCAGCACGACCGGCCGTTTCCGAGAAAACGACCCTCCCTTATGTAGTGCTGTCTTCCTACCCTCGTTGAGAGCACTAACGACCGGACAAGTACCGATCGTGAGTGCTTCGTTAGTGCCTCTTAGTGCTTCATAACTTGCATCAGCACGACCGGCCGTTTCCGAGAAAACGACCCTCCCTTATGTAGTGCTGACTTCCTACCCTCGTTGAGAGCACTAACGACCGGACAAGTACCGATCGTTAGTGCTTCGTTAGTGCCTCTTAGTGCTTCATAACTTGCATCAGCACGACCGGCCGTTTCCGAGAAAACGACCCCTCCTTATGTAGTGCTGACTTCCTACCCTCGTTGAAAGCACTAACGACCGGACAGGTACTAATCGTTAGTGCTTCGTTAGTGCCTCTTAGTGCTTCATAACTTGCATCAGCACGACCGGCCGATAATCAAGTAAGGTGTTAATATAATAAAGTCCATGGTGGTATGAAAAATGTAATTAAAATATTCGTGAAACAAAAATGTATCCCGAATGGTACACTATGAACCGGCGATTCCCTAACCGGCAATGGCCAAACCGGCGACGACTAGCCGGCGCTATGCCAAACCGGCGTTCAGTTAAACCGGCGCTATGCCTTGCCGGCGCTCGTTCAACCGGATGCATTCCTTTGTGTGGATTGGATTAATTAAACGCATAGTACCTATCTATTAAAAGTTACGATCAATGCCAATGCCGACAGAACAGTTATATGTACTTAGTTAATCTGATTTCTCTTGTTTGACCACTTTGAAAATCATAGTTAAAGTGCTAACAAACCCTCCAGCACCCCACCTAAAATAATCTGAGAATTCCATCGACATGTTCATATTATGGCCATCCATGCATTCAAAATGTGGATATTACATAATTTGCAGATCGCATCGACTGAACAAGCGCTCATATGCCGCCTTGACACACGCCGGCATGACCGAGCGCCGGCTTGGCACGTCGCCGGTTCGTGCATTGCCGGCTTGGAATCGCCGGTTTGGAATGTTCCGTATCCCGAAGTATTTGAAGATCGTTGACCAAAAATAAAAATTAAATTTCAGAATTTTTTCCCAGAAAAGGATTCTATCCAGCCGCAAAGCCTCAAACAGATTATGGTTTTGTAGTTGTAAATTAAAAGTATCTAGGTATGTACATGCTGGTTCCTATGGAAAGAGGATTAAGTAGGCGCGCGGCGCGTCTTGGTAGTAAAAAGTACTTGTCGGTCTCTTTTTTAAAGTCGTCACTGTCACTTGTCAGCGTCTTTGGCATATTTTTTGTATTTGTAAAATGACTCCTCTCCCACGTCCAATAAACTGCAGTTTTGTGTACCTACATAGTAATGTTATTTAGTCTGCTCAACTCAGGCCCGTGCTGGCCCTGGGGGATAGGGGGACATATCCCCCTGCGCCCTTGTAAGTAGCGCCCTAAGACTGAGCAAAACATTAAACAATTTATTACTAATCGTGTGTTACTAAATTAAACAAAAGTAAATAAGAATACAAAGAGCACTTCATAAAAGTCTGCTTCGCTTCGGCAGAAATCATTAAGAGATTACTATTAGATTACTCTTTTACAACGCTTGCATTGTCTACCTACTTTTTGACACAAAGTATGCAGTGTTTGTTTGTTTTACTACCCATAAAAATAAAAAATACCACTTTCAATTTGAATTACACCGGAAATTATTTAACCTGTGATAAGATAAACCGTTTTGCTTTACATCATTTTGTAGTAGTGTACATAAATGATTATGACACCAGACAAGACAAAGTAAGAATTGTTTTTTATAGTACCTACTCGTATTCGCACATGATTAGTAGTGAAATATAATCTAAGGACTCCCTATTCATATCCATTTATAAAATCTGATATAAGATCATGCCATTGCCTTGCCCCATTTACTTCTGCAGTAGGATTATTTTATATTTAATTGATAATTCTTTCAGTTCAAGTTCAAGTTTAAAGTGCACGCGTGTATGTTAGCTTTGTTTAGTTTGTTATTGTTTTGCTATTGCAACTGCATGTGCGTCAAGGCCAAGGTAAGTTTAATTAATGCATTTTTAATTAACACCTTAAATGCATGTAACATTATTAGACGAATAATGACACTATTTCGTCATTGAAATTGGATTTGGATGGTGTCATTGTGTTTGATTTCTATTTAACAAAACGACAACTGCAGATGCAGTACTTTTCACTTATGATGGTGCAGATGAAACACCCATTTATCTTTATCTGTGCTTCTGAAAAAAAATAAAGTATTACGTTACGATAATTTTTCGCCAAATCCGATATTTTTTTGTGTGGTATAGATGTACTAGTGGAGTTTTGCTGCTTGCTGCATGGTGTATTGACGTATAGAGAAGTGCTTATTGTTGTTCTTGTTCTTGTAATTTGTGTGGCGTCGTACGTAGTGAAATATAAGAGGGTAAGTTGGTAGGTTAGTCAATAACGGTATATCGAACAATATGATAGTTGTTTAGAGAGAAAGATCAAATGACGCGACTTTTAACAGTGTGACTGCACTAGTTTTAGTTTCTCTTACATATGATTTGATGATTTTTTTGTAGTTTCTCTGAAGTGTTGTTATGTTGCGTTATAGCTGTGATGGGGGTGAATGCGCTTAAAATTAAACACAAAAAGAACGTGTAATTTTTTAATTTAATTGAATGGAAGTAGTAATTTTCCAAAAGTTTGTTGGTCGTTCCCATTGTGCTGGAGCTCCCCCCCCCCCACCACGTAATTTTACAGGCCTTGCGCCCTCGGCATACCTGGCCTCCGCCCCCTTATGGCCCCCAGCACGGGCCTGGCTCAACTGAGTGAGTTAAATCTTAAATGTCAATTTCAAAATAAATACGTACCCCGGCTTTTTTATCCACTTCGCCCACTGAATTGCTGATAGTATCATTGTCTGCGTCTCCCACATTATCATATCCCATGACACCTTTTTAAATTATTTTACTCTATGATTCTGATCATTTATTTCTTCTGATCAGATATCCCTAGTGTCAGTTTTTTAGTGGATTGTGTTGTATAGATTTAGTTGTGTGTTACTTTCAATTCATATTCAAAGGTTGTATGTAATTTGAGTGAAAACGATTTAATTTGATACATCTAAACAAGGTAAGTGTAAGTATTTGATTTTACTGATTGATATTTTATGGGAATCCTTTTATAACATCTTAGACATTCTGAAATTCCATTTGACCCACGATTTAACAAATAATTACAATAGATTTCAGTAATATAAGGTACTCCTTATTTCCAAATTTCGAAATTCAGACCCGTTTTTTAAACATTGATGAAAAAGAACTCATTTCTAAATTTCAACTTATTACCTCTTATACTTCCTGTTAAGTAGACAGGTTGTTTAATTTATTGACAGAGAAACTTATTATGGAAACGAAGAAAAATGTGTACGTTAAGGCGTAAGTGATGGTTGCAAAATTTTTTTTTCTTCGATAAAAGAAATTATATGTTTACCTTTTTCCGTAATTTATTATACATATTTAATTTGTTTAATCAATCATTTCAATAACACGTGTATGCTTCAATTCCCTACATTTTAACATATTTTATAAATTAAATACAGTGCTATATTGTTGGCTTTTTCCGCCCGTCCGTTCGTTCTTCATTGACTGATGGATTATATTATACCTATCTTTTAGATGCCGAAAAAACCTGCATTAAGTTATCAAGAAGTTCTTCGCGCCTTAGAAAAATTTAAAGCAGAAATTCAGCCAAATATCAACCACTCCTCGGCAACTGTTTGGCAGACGATTAGTAAATCTTTAAGCGGTTTACTTTCTGCGAAAGCAGTGTATACGTTTGTTAAATGTAATAAACATAATTGCCTGCAACTGCTAAACATTAACGAAGAACTAAATAGGCACAAAATATTTTCAGTGTCACAACAATCTTCAGACGTCAGCAGCGAATAGCGATGACAACCGTGACGTGAAAGTTTTTGATTTTTCTGTCGATTTAAAAGACTGGAACAAAATTGGTCATTCCAAAAAACGTCTCGAAAATAATAGAATTATACTCACCCTAAATCCCGGATGGACTGATATTTTTATTGACTCTCTGCTAAAAGATTTTCCAACTAACTGTACTTGGCAGATTAAAAAACATCAACTTAATTCAGATTTGGAAATTTTCATAATGGGGTATTGCAGCAATTGCACTGGAATATTGAAAAGCAACAGTTTTCAGACAATAGAAAATGAGGATAATCTTTTCTTTCGATGTGAAGTGTCCAATACGTCATGCCAAAAAATAAATACAAAAAAACGCAAATTGATGAGCGTCAAACGAAAGGAAATTGGGGATGAATTGGCAGAAGGAAAGTTTGCTATAAACTGGAGGAGAGAAAATGCCAATAAAATGATGACATTCGGTGAACCGGAGCCATGCAATTTGTATTCTTTGGATACACTGAAAAAATGTAAACAAGAAGCGATTGCGAGAAAGATTAAATATAACCCTTTGGACAAATGCCCGATACATTCTTTATTATTATTAAAATATTCTCAGCAATACTCCTGTATAATAAGAAACATAGGATTTGACAAATTCTTTGTTCATTACTGGACAAACGAGCAAGCAGTCATATTTGAAAATTATTGTAGAAGAAATCTCACATCCAGACTTTATATTGATGCTACAGGATCTTTGGGTAAAAAAATCGATCGTCCCTATGGAAAACAACAATGCCGTGAATAATCACGTAAAATCCAGTGATGTCTACACCATGACGTGATGTGACAGAGAATGGTACTCATAATTGACGTGAATACAAATCCTAATGGAATGACGTGTTGATTGAAAAAGTATTTAATCCTCTCCAGTGCTGGCCGCATTCCAGCACGTACATCAATCCTACTAAGTAACTAATGTTGCCTATCTTAATGTCACACATACCTCCTTCCATAGGGGTTGGAGGCTCCAATATAAATAAAGTATATAATACAACATAATAATAATATGGTTTCGCTTATCAGTGTCACTTTTCTTTCTTCTCCGGTTATGTGGTCCACTCTTCTCCAGTGTACCTGGGGTTGGGTTTTGCGGTTCTCATCGTTGTCCTTCTGGTGTCTATTGCTGGCTGGTTCGGGGGCGTTGGTGGTGTGCGGCTTTGATCTGGCTCCGGTCGGTGTGTCTGGGGTACCTCGGCTGGGCTAGGTTCGGCTGTTGGAATGGCTTCTGTGCGCCTTGGTTCTCGACTCGGTCCCTCTTCTTGAAGTTGAGGTTGGGGTGGGGCCCTGAAGTATCGCTTTCGTAAGAGTGTGCGGTTCCTTCGGAGGATGCCTCCATTGTCCTGTTGTATGAGGTATTCATGCTTTGGGAGTACTTCGGTGACAGTGCCTGATATGGTCCATCGCTTTGTTTGGTGGTGCTGCACCATCACAGGTGTTCCCACGGGAAAGGGCTGTAGGGGTTTCGCCGTTGCCTCGTAATGGGCTTCGAGTTTCTCACGCCTTTCTGCCGCTGTTTCGTCCAATTGCCGGAATGACCTCTCCCATTTGGGGTCGTATGCATTTGGGTGGCGAGGTAGCATTTCCCCACATGTTCGCCCGTAGATGAGTTCGGCTGGTGATCTTCCTCCGTATCGTGGAGTGTTCCTGAAAGCCATAATTCCAGCTGTTAATTCGTCCGGGTCTGGTCTTTTGGCGCCTTCCGGAGTTGCTCCTCTGATGATTTTCTTCATCGCCTTGACCGCGGCTTCGGCGCGCCCATTAGATCGTGGTAGGTGTGGTGATGACGTTTCGAGGGCGACGCCCCATTTCTTCAAGAATGCTTGCACCTCGTGGGACACGAATTGGCGCCCGTTGTCGGGTTTTAGCATCACCGGTCTTGCGTGGTTCATGAATGCGTTGCGGAGGGCTTCGATGATTCTCCTTGAAGATGTGTCAGTGCCGAGCGTTGTGATGTCGGGCCATCCGGAGAATTCATCAGTCAAAACCAAGTAATGGGTATCGGCTACTTCGAATAGGTCGGCGTGGAGTTTTTGGAAAGGGCGCTCTGCGTCTGGGCCGCGTTGCATGGGCTCGTGTGGTTGCGATGGGAGATGTTCTTGGCAGGGTCGACAGTGGCGGATCACGTCTGTGACATCGGTTGCAATTGTTGGCCACCATACTGTCATCCTTGCTCGTTCCAGAGTTTTGGAGATGCCCTGGTGTGCCGCATGTAGGTGGTGCAAAATTTGACGCCGCATGGGGCCTGGGACGAGTAGGCGTGGTCCGTGGAGGATGATGTCATCTTGCGCGTACAGAGATTCTCGCTCCTTGTAGTATGGTGCTAGCAACTCGTCCTCGCAAAGGAGTTGCTGTTTGCTGTCGGGCCAGCCGTGGTGTATGCGCCGCAGCAGTGCTTTGTAGGTGGGGTCCTGTTGGCCCACCCGTCGAATGGTTTGAATGTGCTCCTGTTGAGCGTCTAGTGATGGATTTGGTATGGCCGAGTCCAATTGGGATATGGCTGTGGCAATAATAAATTCTCTATCTGCGTCTTCCTCTTGCGTGAGAACTTGGTCTGCTGTTCTAGGCTCGTTTCTTGGTTTGCGTGAGAGGGCGTCTGCGATCTTGTGGCGTTTCCCAGCTTGCCATCGTGCGGTGAAGTTGTAGCGAAGCAAGGTGGTCTTCAGTTTGAGGAGCCGGTCGTTTTGGATTTGGTCCAAGCGCCTGTTGTTCAAAATGGAGACCAATGGGTTGGAGTCGGTGATGATCTCGAAGTGATCCAGGCCATCTAGGAAAAACGCGCATTTCTTTGCCGCCCATGCCACCGCGAGCGCCTCTAGTTCGGCCATGCCGCTCCAGTTGGATTCGTGCTTCGCAAGCGTTCTGCTTCCGCACTGGACCGTTCTCCACGTGCCCTCGTCGCATTTTTGGCGTAGGAGGAACCCAAGCCCATGTAGGCGAGACGCGTCTGTAAGGAGCTGGGTTTGTCGTCGTGGATCGAAGTACGTTAGGTGTGGTGGGTTCGACAGGACGATTCGTGCTTCCTCGAAGGCTTGTTGGTGGTAAGGTTGCCATGCCCAGTCGGCCTTGTATGAGAGGAGGCTCCGTAACGGTTCTAGGATCGTAGTGAGGTCGGTCGAGAACCCTCCTAGTTGCTGGGCAAGACCCATAAAGGATCGAAGATCTGTTCGGTTCTCTGGGACTGGGAACTGTCTCAGGTCCTCGGTTAATTCCGGGTCGATTTGGTATTGGCCCTGTTTGACGATGAAACCCCCAAATTTGACCCTTTTCATACCAAATTGTACTTTACTTGGGTTAATTGAAATGTCGTGGGCGTCGCAGGCTTGTAGTACTCGCTTTACATCCTGAATGTGTTCCTCCCATGTCGTTGAATAAATCAGTATGTCCTCTACGATTCGGGCAATGTGGGGGATGCCCTCTAGCGCTTTGGCCATCCTTTCGTTAAAGACATCACTGGACCCATGCCACCCCATGGGCATTCGGCAGTACCTCATGCGCCCTCTGGGAGTGATGAACGTTGTGAGTTTGCGACTTCCTTCCTCTAGGTCGATTTGATGGAACCCTTTGAGGCCGTCCAGGACTGTGAAGTACGCTGCCGTCTTTGGTAGGTGGCAGACTGTGTGAATGGGGGATTGGGATGGGTAGATCGGACGTATTGTCGCTTTGTTTAGTTCTCGTAGGTCCACCGTGATGCGTGCCTTTGATGGGTCTTTCTTACGAGTGGCCACCATTGGGTTAATCCATTCCGATGGGTCGTTGGTGTCGTCAGCGAATTCTATGATGCCCGCGGCCACCTGCTCGTCGATCTCCCGGTTGACCGCCTCCTGGAGGTTGAGTGGGATGGGGCGTGTCCCATATTGTTGTTTTGGGCTCACATCACGTCGTAGTTTTATGGCGACTGGGCCGCCCTTCATGGGTCTGCAGATTCCGGCCAGCGGTCTTGGGAATTCTTGGCGTAATGCGTCCCAAGCTGTCTTCCGTGAAGCGTCTGAAATCGTATGTCCTGGTGCTTTGGATGTGGTCGGGCTTGCGGCTGTTGCAGAACAACCATGCCCGACTAGTCATTGAGTGTTGTTGATTGTAGGTCGGTGGGGGCTAACGAAAATCTGTAGCTCCCGGCACACTTGGCGTGACAGCATCGGCTGTGCGAGGCCGTCGATGACGTATACGTCTGCGATTGTTTCCCTGTTGCTGGGTGCCCATGAAACCCTGGCCCTAAAGATGCCAACTGTGCGGAGGTTGTTTGGCTGCCCATCGGCTTGCCTCGGGGATTGTGGTGGTGGTTTGGTGTGAGTTAAGTCGCTCGTTGTCAGGCCCAGACGACTCAGGTCCTGGAGGGGAACGCATGTTGTATTGCTTCCTGTGTCCGCTAGGCATGAGACCCGTCTGCTGCTGATCCCCTTCCAGTGGGCAATTGTCACCGTCTCCGTGCCGAGCTTCTCCAGTGGGTCCAGTGGATTCTTGAGGGTGGCAGTGTTGATCTCGCTCACGATGGAACTCAGTGCGCCTTCGTCCTCACTGGTGTCTGTTATGGCATTGGTTTGGGCAGTGGGCCGAGGTCGGCCTCCTGCGTCTGGGAAGGTAGGGCAGCACCTGTCGTAGTGGCCCTTTTTGTTGCAATGGCGGCAGGTGGCTTTTGCTGCTGGGCATCCTTTGGTTTGGTGCCATGGTTTGTCTTTCCCGTGGCCACATTTGCCGCAAGTACCTCTTTTGTTCTTGTCAATCTGTTCCTTGGGTGGCACACGTGTGTTTTGCCTGAGTCTGCTGGCCATTGGTGTGTCGGTTGTGGGTCTAGCTATTATTGCTTCTGCATTTCTTCTTGACGCCATGATGTTTCGGGCTAGTTTCAAGGCATCGTCCAGTGTGGCTGTGTTAGGCAGTTGTAGCAACTTCTCCGTGATTTCCCTGTCGTTTATCCCTGCCACTACCTGGTCGAGAATGCGTTCTGACTCGGGGTCAGCCTCTTGTGTGAACTTGCACTTCCTCGCCATGTCCTTGAGTGCAATCATATATGCGTCGCAGGTCTCGTCCTCGGTGCGTATGCGGGCCTGAAACTCCTTTCGATAGACGCGTTTGTTGGTGCCGGCCTCCAAGTATTCCTCGAGGCCGCAGATGATTGTTGTCGCGTCTTGGCGTTCTGCTTGTGTCAAGGGAAGGTTGCGCACCACTTTGGCTGTACTCGGTGTAAACGTTGTCTTTAAGGCGTCTACCGTAATTGTTCTCTTTGCTGCACGCATTGCGGTCGTGACTTCGTCTGAGGGTGGTTTCGTGTAGTCGGCCTCTAAAAGGCGATTGATTCCCGAGTGGCCTTTGAAGGTTTCCCAATCCTCCTTCCATTGGGTCCAGTCGACGTTGTCGACGTCGAGTGTCGGGGGAGTGGCCCTACAAATAAAGTACCTGGGGTCTAGTTTCTCCATTGCTGGTGGCTCGCTTGGCGTCTCGATTTATCCGGAGCGCTTGTTTCCACAAATCCTGTCATCCGCTCGCACAAATGCCTTAAATTCGGGTTTCTTTTAGCGGTTGGATCCTACCGACTGCGCCATGTTTGATTGAAAAGTATTTAATCCTCTCCAGTGCTGGCCGCATTCCAGCACGTACATCAATCCTACTAAGTAACTAATGTTGCCTATCTTAATGTCACACAGACGTCATATAAATACGAAAATGGGACGTGATAAACACGTCATTATTATGACTATTTTATTGGATATGCTTAATTTATATCAATAAATTTATAGTAGCAGTGTATAGGTGTGTTTAATAAAGCCGCCCAGTGCACAATCACTGAATATGGGAATTACGATATTCTTTTTTACCGCCTTTTATCTTCGGTACCTGACGTTACAATTCGGGTTATGTTCGTTTTTTGTCAGCTATCATGCGCAACGTGAATCGTTAGCGTCCTCCGTATAATAAAAAAGATGGAGTTTTTAGGTGTGGAGTTTTCTGCGTCTTGTGGGGGCGGTTTAGCTATAATTAACAGAAACTGGTTAACGCCAAGAAAAAAAAATGCCTTCTGGCCACCCTACAAAACTCAATCTGTGTACGAAAAAGCATTAAAAACGGGAGAGACACCAAATGAAGCAAACTGGAAAATTTATCCTGTTTCTAGGTGCTTCTTCGAAACAGGTGTGTATTTTTGTCCATATTATAATTCTAGTTACTCATAATGCATTTTTTTAGATGATTACTCGAAAGCAAGGTCAAAACTAAAGAGAGCCGAATTACAGTCCGATGTTCAATCAGATGCCGATGAGGATTCGTGTTTAAGTAAGAGGGCTATTCATCCTCCAAAACGGTTGTGCTATGAAAGCAGTGATGAAGAAGGGTCACTCAGTACACTTCCTGCACCACCTCCAATAAATATCTCAGAGCTTTCTAAAAATTTATTAAATGCAGAGTCGGCAGGTATTTATATTAGAATGTTAGTATATTAGTCACATTATTTATTTTGTAATAGGTTCGCCGGGTAGATCTCCACATTCAAATCCAATTTCTATTAAAAAGAATCGTCCTTCAAAGGCCTCTTTAATTATCTCGGAACACGATAGACAAACTCCGGCTAAATATAATGATGTCACGTCAGGTATTTGCGATAGTGTTATTCATCTTTACAATTCTGATCATAGTTTTTGTTGTAACAGGTTGCTCAAGTTCACTACAATCGACTCCGTACAGGATAAGAAATAAACTCTTCATACCTGATAATCTAGCTGATAATTTAGAAACTGAAGATACAGAAATTTGTGAAACATTAAATGAAGGACAATCAGGTATTCCATATGAATAATTATTCAAGGAAATATTTCATTACCTATAAACTGTCTTAGGTCCATCAAGTGTATTAAATTCACGAGTTTCGAGTCCTAATTTGAATCATACCATTGTTGATGTGGATGATTTGCTACGTGGAACTCATGTTGATTACCATGGTAACCTTTTATTTACCTAATTAAATCTATTACATAATTTTAATTTTAGATAAAAAATATAAGACTTTATTGCGGTTACTGATCCACATCAAGTCTCAAAATGATCATGTTGCTAAGCAAAATGAAGCCATTTTAAAGTCTTTAAAGAAGAGAGAAGTTTTACAACAAAGTAATACCTCATATCAACTGCCCAATGACGTCCCTGTGAAAATCCCCATACAACAATTACTGGAAATACCAATAATTGAGGAATACCTATCTGAAGAAGATCACCTATGTGCTATGGTACAAAAATGTTACTTTTCACTATATGTAATTGTTAAACATTTCTTATATTTTACAGAGTGCATATTTATCCACCTTAGGTGGCCGCGACATTACAACTAAAACAAATACTATTTTGAGAAGTGTGATCTCAAACAAAGTAGCAATCAATTTCAGTTTTTTGGGAACCCGTAACAATAAGCAGGCATTTACTAAATTAAACTTAAATAAATTGATTATTCGTAAGTTGTATACAAAATTGTCAGTATATGTACTTATTCTTACACACAAAAATTTTAGGGGCTGTGCAGTTATCAACGCCAAATACACCAGAGCATGAAATCAACGAAAATGTGAAAGTCTGGTTGAAACATGCTCCTCAGAGACTGACACTCGAAAATAAAAAACAAAAAGAAAATAAATAGGTATGTTAGTTGTACAAGAATTAATTTTTTAAGGTTTTTTTATTATTACTAATTAGATTAGTTGCATTCCTTCTATTATTAATATTTTTTATCATGTTTAAACAAAAATGTAAGCGTAAAGCCAAAACTTTGGTTTCAAAAAGACAATTGTACCGTAGAATTGCAAATGATGTTGATAACATTATAACTAGTATAAATTCCCAATCTTTGCCATCGAAAACTAATAAAACAACTCTTGTAAATGATACTGGAATATCAAATGCTAATTCTCAAGCAAGATCATCACCTAGCGACTTTAGTAGCTACACATATGAGAATTATAGTTTCACATATTCGACCTCATCTAATAGTGACTTGTCACTAAATGATATAAGTCAACATTCAGAAATGAATATACATAACAACGAAAATAGGGAAGGTGATGGAGACCATTCACTTACAGATAAGCTAAGAAATTGGGTTGTACACACTCCCACTATGCCACATTCAGCAGTAACATCATTACTTAAGATTTTAAACACGTATCATGCGGAGTTACCCTTAGACGTAAGGACTCTTATGAAAACCTCCCAAAAATTTGACATTCAAACAATGGAGACTGGACAGTTTGTTTATTTCGGAATTTAAAAAAATTTACAAATTTTCTTAATTAAAAATTTGAATTTTTCCCAAACAGTTATGGAACTATCATTTAACATTGATGGAATCCCTCTATTTAAAAGCTCGAATATCCAATTATGGCCCATATTAGGAATGGTACATAATTTCAAAATTAAATCCCCATTTGCTATTGCAATTTTTTGCGGAACTACAAAACCGAAACCATTGTCAAAATTTTTACATGATTTTATACAGGAATTGGCATTATTACAACAAAATGGTTTCTTATATAATGGAATTGATTATCAAGTCAAAACCAGGTGCTTTATTTGTGATGCACCTGCAAGGGCATTTCTCAAATGCATAAAATCACATGGAGGATACTCCTCATGTGAAAAATGTACAGATCCAGGCAAATATTTAGGTCCAGGTAGAGTGATTTTGGAAAATGTCAATGCTGAACTACGAACAGATGAATCTTTTAGGCTACAGAAAGACAGTGACCACCATAAAGAAGAAATCACACCATTATTGCAATTGAATATTGGCCTGGTCACATCATTCCCCATAGACTACATGCACAATGTTTGTTTAGGTGTAACACGTAAAATTATAAATTGCTGGATTAGTGGAAAGTATAAAACCAGATTATCTTTTCGTCAAATAGCAAACCTTTCTGAGCGAATGTTGAAAACCAAACATTGTATACCTATTGAAATTAATAGAAAACCACGTTCATTGAATGAATTAGCTCGCTTTAAGGCCACTGAATTTCGTACCTTTGTGTTGTACTTAGCACCATTTGTCCTTCCAGGAATAGTTGATAAAGCCGTCTATCATCACTTTTTACTATTACATGTGTCGATAACAATTTTGTGCTCAAACCAACATATACGACGATTTGGATGTCAGCATGTAACTCGAATACTAAAAATATTTGTACAGCACAGCCAATTTTTGTATGGTTTAGAATTTTTGGTATTCAATGTACACACTTTAATACATTTACCCACAGATGTGGAGTTATTTGGTCCGCTTGATAATTTTTCAGCTTTCCCATTCGAAAATTTTTTAGGGAAGTTAAAAACTCTTGTTAAGTCTCCAAAGCAACCAATAATTCAACTATGTAACAGAATAGAAGAAATAAATACTGTAGCAAATGGCTCGAACCATTCACTCTTTCCAATGAATACACCCTTTTATGAACATTTTTCAGGTCCCACAGTGTTATCAATGTCATTTGCAAAACAATTTAAAAAAGTTAGATACCAAGACTGTTTATTTACAATACATAACTTTTGCAAGGCAAACTGCTATTGTTTAATCAAATCGAAAGTTATGGAAATTCATAATATAATAACCCAAAGTAACGAAAATGTTTTCCTTGTAGGCAAAATGTTCGATTCTTATAAACCAGTATATGATTATCCATTAGATTCAACAGAATTAGATATATTTGAACTTAATAATTTGTCAAATGAATTAATAACCTACCCTATTTCACATGTGACATCTAAGTGTATTGTTTTTCCTTACAAAGACTCTTATGTATCGTTACCATTGCTGCATACATATCAACAGTAATATAGTAATATGTACACATATATTGTAGTGGCTATTGTATATTTTTATGTATAAGTCTATTTAGTTCTCAGGTTTAGAAACAAAATAAACCATTTTCCACATGATAGTAGTCTTATTTTGTCGTCATAAAGACGTCATAAGGGTTGTTTTATTTTCGTCTCCGATCACGACATTCCAACGTCGATAAATGACGTCTACGGGATGTGACATAATCACGTCAGAGTACATCACATTGACGTCATGTATAGGTGCACAATGACGTAATATATGACTAAATATCGACGTGAATCTGACGTCACCTTGTTTCCGGAAATGTGTCCGGGAATATATTTTTATACGTGGGAGTTGTTCATTTGAATCACATATCTGGGCAGATACCGGTTTTTCAAAGTCTATCCGAAGCACATGATAGTAACAGTATTGCCTATTTTTTAACGTGTTGGACAAATGCAATAAACACAAAACCAAAAATCATTGTGTGCGATCATTCCCTTGCGCTTTTAAATGCAATAACAATCTCTTTTGCAAAGTGCGTTTTAAGGGAATATATTTCAAAATGTTTAGAAGCATTAAAAGGCAATATGAATTCCCTTCCAAATTTTCAATTAAGGATAGACTATGCGCATACTATGAAAATGATAACAAAATGGAAATCGTTACAAAATAAGAGTAGATTGTTCAAAAACTTTTATATTCGTTCGGTGGCGGTGTTAATCCACGAGAGTAATTTTGTAAATGGCTTAAAAATTGTGGAAAACTTATTTGTAGTTGCAAATAGTGAATATTCTGGAGAGTTGATAAATGAAAAAATTAATTCGCCCTGCGAAGATGGCAAGAAATTCTTAAAAAATCTAATATCTGGCCTAGATATTATAGACATTGAGGATGAAAATAATGATAACGAGAAAACTCATAAAGATATTTTAATTGATTCAGACTTGCCGCATGCATGGATTGACGAATGTAAACAAAAGGCTACCAGTAATTGTAACGTTATAACGGACAATGAAAACTTTTATTATTGCCCGGCATTTTCTCGAGACCTAGAAAGATTTTTGAAAACATACCCTTTATGGTCATGTATCATGATAAACATTTTTGGATATGGCGAAAGAACCGAGAGCAGTTCTTCGGTAGAAAGCTATTTTAATGAACTAAAGCATCGAGAAATGAGGGGTTTTACTTTACCAATGCGTGTGGATAAATTTTTCAAACTTCATGTCGATTCCATAAATGCTATGTTGAAATTAGCAGTTGCGAATTCTGAGGTCGAGATGTTAGCAGGTAGGTTTTCAAATATTCTACCTATTCTGAATATTAATTCCTGATTTTTATGGGTACACAGCTAAAGACAATCCAACTGAAGAAGATGAAGAAGACATCGAAACGAATACTGTTAATAGCCAAAGCGGATTTCACTGTCAAGCAATAGGTAGTGAAAACAATTTTGCGGATATGGCATTTCAAGAACGTTCACTGTCAGACCTCAACGAAGGAGAATCTTTGCTGTTTTCACAGGTCGAAAAGAGAAACATCGGTGTAAACGATAACAAGCAACCCCGGGGTATGGACAAACTTGAAGGTATGAATTGTAAAAGGGAATTGGAAAAAACTCGGATTCTGATTGCTGTTATATGTAGCGCAGCCCACTAAAGTGGAAGCGTACACATCTATCATTGGGTACCATTTTTTATTACAAACACAACGATATACGGCATACAAACAAAAGAAAAGTTGGAAACGGTACGTTTCAACAGGATGGTGCAACCGCGCACATCACTCATCAGCCTAATCATGCGAAAATACCTATCGGACCAATTTTCCATTGTCCAGGAAGTTTGTCCGATATTTTCGCATGATTATAGGGCGTTGTGTGCGGGTACGCCATCCTTTTGAAACCAACAGTTTCCAACTTTGTGCCACTTTTCTCTAATTTGACCATCGTCGTATGTTCCGTGGTTTCAGGTATCCCCATGATAGACATCCTTATCCTGGACACAGTGTATATTCTAATTGTACATAATAAACCTAGTTTTCCAAAATGCACTGACCGACAAATGATATTGGTTGCTAATGATATTTGTGGCTAATTAATTAGCGCTTTTAATTAAAAATGCACAGTGAATACTATAACTGCCTCATTACCCTAAAGCAGATCTAAAAAAGCGGAAAAGCACCTCGGTGTGAGCCTACGGGGTTATTGGATGTGACCCATTTTCAATAGGCTTATACTTGTGGCATACAACTGTGCCAAGTTTGAACCGAAGCGGTCCAAGCGTTTGGCAGTTATCGTGTTCACGGACAGACGGACACTATCGACCTCCTATAAAGCTTGCATCGCTTTGCTCTGCCGCTTAATAAAACAAGCTATCAAGATAATAATTTATTTTATACTTTTTATTCTAGATGCAGACATGGCGATTGAAAACTGGCGCGGAAAAGCATCCGTAAAGCCTAGAAGATCAATTTATAAGGCACCATTACCAGAAATTCTTTACACCAATGAAATTAGGAAGAACAAAATTTTTTTATTGAAAAATGGAAACCTATTAAAATCTTATAATATGAGCAATAAGAAAAAAGTAATATTAACCAATACATGCGCCATAGATACTGTTTTTCAAAGTATCGCTGCTGCTGTTTGCGATAGTAAACAACTAGAAGAATACCTCTCACCACAACGGGTGGAAAATAATTTTATAAAAGTTGTATTCCATTTAGTAGAAGGGAATACACGTACACTCAACAGATCTAGGGCAGAATTATTGAACGAAAGTTTAAATTCAATATTTAGAAGAGACGTGTTAGTAGATAAGACAGAAAAAATTGATTGTCAATGTAACG